CTTTGATGCATTTTTCAAATTTCGCCTTGGGGCGGAGTTATCTTTTCACAGGGGGGGTAAGTTACACTTTAACATTTCAAACCGTTAACAGCTACAAAGCTGTTAACGGTTTATCATCTTCCACTGGAAACCAAATTTCCCCGTACTGTATCCTCACTGACTGGTTATTCAAAACGCTTTAGCTCGCCTCACTTGCCTGTTTTGCCGTCTTATGGCATCTGCCATCATCAGTGAGTTTTTTTCTTTGTTCCTGCTGAGTTTTGATTTACAAATTGAGCAACGTTGTGTTGGTAGTATAAGCTTGTCATTCAGTCTCTGCACAACAGTGTGTTTCTACATGTCAAGGTGTGAACAACCTGGGGCTCGAGGTGTTTCTTTTCATTTGAGATTTTAAATCTTGTTCACTACCTTTATTGAACCAGAATAATTGGCCTAAAGTACAATTTCAAGTAAAGACATAAAGATAGCGGATACTGAGATCTTTCTAACTAAAGGCCCTGTCACACTGGACAACTTATACCAACTTATGAAACATATTTTATTATATATATTACTAATAAAAGGTATATATTTGATTAATTTGTTAAAATTACATTATGTACATGCCGAAAAGAAACTTCCTGTTGATTTTTTTCAATTCCATCTTCAACGTAGATGACTTTAAAATGTTCATAACTTGGCACAAATTGTCTAGTGTGACAGGGCCTTAAGTGAGAAACATGATTTATTMAAAAAAAATTCAACTTCAGCTTGAGTTTAGCTGCCAAATTAGCAATGCCAGCTTTAAATGATAGCTCACAATCAAGAAGAAGACCCAAGTATTTATAATTTTGAATAAGCTCTTAATGTTTTTCTTGTGAAGTTAGATTTGATGGGATATTCCCTTGGCGTGCTCTTTTATWAGAAAACACCATGAAGTTGGTTTTGGCTGTTTTTAAAACCTGTTTTTACAGTCAAGACTGAACAATATTAAAATAATTCTGTATGATTTCAAAAGCCTCAAAAGTGAGGATGAGCAGCAGTAAATAATGGTGTTATCTTCAAAAAAATGATTCGTAGCGTATGAAAAAAATATAACAGATTGTAAATTTAAAATAAAACTGTTCCCAAGACTGAACCTTGGGGCACTCCTTTGGTAACATGGAATGGAMGAGGTGGATCTGGCCACCTTAACACAACTGTGTTCTGTTGGTTAAATAGTTTGCAAACCTGGAAATTGCATGTTTTGCTAAACCAATGTGATGTAAGGTATTTAGTAAAAAATTTATTGAGTTTTAGAAATGTGAGAATTTAGAAGCTACTGATACATATAAGATACAAAATAAGGTTGTTCACTTCATAAACAAGAGGTCATATTTTCCAGAAAGAATAAAAATGTTTAGTCAGTCTATAGTTTCTTTATTTCTTTGTTTTTGTTACAGGGATGGAGCTAATCTAGTCATTCTGGTGTATGCTCACTTTTAAACTCACTGACACTTTCAGACACCCAACTTCTAGCAGCTTTGTGAGACAACCTTGAAAAATWATTTATCCTGTCAGCACACATTGTSTAAGGTCACATTAAATATTGATATTGAAAGAGGAAAATGCATMCTTGAACAGAAGAAAAATAGAATAAAAGAAAACTGGACTGAGTCACTCACTGGAGATGGACTGAGGCAGAATAATGCAGTTTTTAGTCTACTTTGAGAACGTGGTAAACAGAAATTCAAGATTTTGTAAATAGTAGGGAAAGATCAATTGTTAGTCTAATTATTTATTGAATAATTTTTGTCATTTAAAATRTATAATTAATTTGTTAGAGTATGTAGTGAGTGCAGGCGTTAACACTAAACCCCTATGTTACTTTGTTCCCTACAACAAGGGTACCTTTTATGGCAGAGACGTTTATTTTGGCACAACACAGACAGGCCCTGAAGGAAGTTGTCTGTAATTTTTATGTATTACGAATAAAAGTTTACTAATTAACTGTKCTAGCAGATGGGTTAGGGTTAAAAATTGTTACTTGTGACCTGTCTTTTAAGCATTGCAGATATGGGCAGCTGAATGGCTAAAGAAACAATATGTTCTTAACGCATCACAACTTAAGTGATTTTTATTGATTGGTTCTTAGCTAAATGCTGTTCATTCACACTGTAATGTAAGCACTGGCCCAAATTTTTTCAATCACTGTTTTTTTTTTTTTCATTTCTTTCTTTTGTTTTTAAAATGTATTACAATTATGAATTCAAAACGTTAAAAATAACAGGACAAATATAAATTATCCATCAGCATTTGTTCTGGCAATTTACAAATCCTTATTGGTTAACAGGTCTGATTTCTGCAGACTTTTTTTTATTGCTATATCTAAATTCTTTCTGTTTCTGTTCTACCTAAATATTTAGGGATTTCTCAGACACTATCTTGACYATCTGCACAATGAATGATAGTCTAAACATCTAAATTGTCCCCAAACTTTTCCACAGTACAGCATGTGTCATAACAGAATACATGTTTGTCTCACTGGGATTACCTTTTGGCTCTGGACAGTACAGCAGGGACAATGTGAGCGTTTCCTGTGAAATACAAGAAATCCCATCTCAAAGTAATAATTGTGCCATATCAGGTCACACAATGAAACAGGGAGAAGAAGGAGGAGCCCAGAGGGAAAGACTGCAGCTTTTTAGACTTAACCAGACAAAGAGTTTGGACATGAAAAGATAAAGATCAGGACATACCTCTGTAGTTCCATAGACAACTGGCAGCAAAAAGCCCCTTGTCACATTATGATCTCAGTGGTGTGAACTTGGTTTTATTATAAGCTGAAAAGCTTGTTTGAAAGATAATGATGCTTTTAACTATTTGTGTAGTCTAATTATTTTACAAATCACTGGAAACTCAAATTGCGATTGAGATAAATGACAAAAAAAGTGGGCTTAAGAAAGATTTTGTTGAATCTTTGACCTAAAACCATGCAATCATCCTGGGAAATTTTGTTTGCTTAGATAATTATAAAATTTCTCGTAATTTTAGGTAGTTGTAGGTCTTGGCCATAATTTTAAATTACATTCTAAATTTGGCTTTAAAGTGCCTGTGACATTCATATTCATGAAATACAAAAAGTCAAAGCAAACATCTTTATATTTAAGAAACTTGGTATAATAGACATGATTTTACCCATTTTGTCCCATAACTGGCATATTTTCTGTTAAACTTTGCTCAGACAAAATGAAACAGGAAGTGACATCAAAGGGGAATTCTTCAAGAAATTAAACTCTCTGGTTTTTGTTTATAAAAGCAATATTTTTGAACACTGAGTCTTTCTCATCTCTCTATTATAGTAATTAAAAAAAATCTAAAGAAACATCAGGTTCTTCTCTACAGTCTGTGTTGTCAGCCTTTGTAGCAGTGCTCTGTTCACATTCAGACATTCCCCTTTGACATCACTTCCTGTTACTTCACATGCAAATATCTCAACAACTGTTCATCTCAGCTGCATGAAATCTTTTTTTACAATATGTTGTCAATGTTATCTTTCCAAAAATGCATTTATATTTATTACCAAAAAATGATGTCACAGGCACTTTAACCTTCTGTACATCTGTGAACAGTGGATTTAAAGAGTGATCCACACCCCCTAATCTCCACAACCGTCCCCGATTTTCCGACTAAGTGTTTAAAATCTTTTCAAGTGTCTTTAAGTTAATTTTATTGTTTTTATCTTTATTTTTCTAGAGCCCAGAGGACAAAGGGGAGACTCAGGAGGGATCTGACGCGAGCAAATCTGAGATCAGCCTGGTTTATGAAATCGCTCTCAAGAGGAACTTATCAGTTAATTTTGAGGTAAAAACAGCAGTTTTGGATTTGTCTGAAATTACACAGAAGAACTCACCATTGATGTCATTATTACTGGAATTAAAGTGAATTGTAACTCCGAAAGAATGTGGTAAGAAACTAATGATATTAATTTGGATGTTACACAAGTCATGCTTTTCCCTGCAAAAATGTGGAAAGTCATGCTTAAAGTAACACTTCTGTGGTTACATGACAAGATAACAGAAAGAAAGCTGAAGGAGTCACACACCAGGTATTAAATTGCAGGATGTGCTGTCTGGTTTAAAAAAGGGTGCGACTTAAAAGAAATTGCTTGGTGTTGTGGATGTGCTTTAGCTTGATGAGCGACATCAGAATGAGTTTAGTTCTTGCTGAATCACATAGTTTCTCAGCTTTTGCAATATTGTTATTTTTTTATCAGCTTCATTTTCTTTGTGTCGAAGGAGTCCAGCGTTCTCTTTTCCACCTTCCAGAGCCTTGAAGGTAGTTGAACGTGTCCTCATATGACTTGCTGCCTTTCTTTTTGGCTTTTACCATATCTTAGCTGACTCATGTAATATTCTGTCTCTCTCTCAGCCACCACCCCCTTTTCTTCTTTTTGTGCTCAGCAAGGTGCCAAAACCAAGTGAAGCTCAGTTTACGTTGCGTCTTCCTCCACTCCCCTCCCTTCCTCCACAGACCTCTCCCTTCCACCTCCATCACTCCAAAAATCACAAACAGGGCAGTTGTGTGTGAAAGAATGGCAGACAGGGTGCAGAGGTAACACATTTTTACTGGTGTAGACTTGGCTTGTTTGTAAAAAWTTACTCAGCAGTTTGAGAATTATCTGAAAACTCTGTTTAGTCCCCTCCCCTTACACYCTTTTCCTTTCTTTTTTTCAAAAAACCCATTTTGTCATCAGATCAGGACATGTGTCCTTCCTGGAACACRTTAATTATTTTAGCCAGCTAAATCTGGATTGAGGTGATTCATCATTTGTTAAGTCTCTGGCACTWTCAGTAATTACACTCACATTTAGAAAGTGAAAGCAGACTGCTGTCACAGTTCTCAGAAAAGCCACTCAAATGCTCAGTCAGTCTGGAGGTCAGCTCTTCATTAAAGCTGTCTGATATGTTGATCAGTAACTTTCCTTGTGAGGCTGTTCCCCGTTATCTTCTGCCTGTTTGTCAGCAACTTATCCAATAATTAAGGGATTAAGAAAATAGGTAAAAAAAAAATACAGTGTTGAAA